AGTTGGAGTTGTTGGTGGCTTGTCTGACTTCTGTATGCCTTCTAAGGGTTTCTGGATTACTGGGGACAGTGTTGTTAAAGTAGGATTAGATGGAGCTTTTTTGCCAGATTTCAGGATTGTCGATGTCATTGTTGCCATTTCTTTCAGAATTAACTTTTGTTCTCTTATAATTTTCTCAATATTTTTCCAAATGACCATTCAATGGTTTTGCCCCTATTTCCTCTATTAATTCCTCTTCTTAAGCCTATTTAAGAGATTTGCTATCTTCACTAGACAGGATCATTTCATCAAACTATCTTTCTCAAGTCAAATCTTTATAACGCACCAAAATTGTCAAACTTCCTTAATAGTTTAAAACCTATGAGTTAAATCACACTACCAGATTCCAAATTAATTCTCACATATGAGCCAAAAGTTTTATACCCATATATCCCAGTAAATATTATGATTTCGATATAGCTATATTCAAACCTTAATATAAAAAGTTATTATAAATAAGTTAATAAATACTACCTGTAATTCTTATATAACTAAATTCAAGCCTTAGTATATGGAATTGATATAAATAAGTTGTTAAATATTACCCTTAAGAATAAATATTCTGAAATAGATAGATATAACTAGATAAATATGAATAGATATAATCAATGCAATTAATTAATTAATTAATTGGTTAATTATAAATCTGGATCCTTATATATAAATATACCTAATGACAGCAAAATAAAATCAACACTTAATTTCTATATTCTATATTCCCTATATTCCTTAACAATTTGTAATTCTTATTAATATTATTATTTAACAAGAAAACCAAAGTTCAAGTATTAGAAACCCAATTACTCAAAAGAATAGGGGGGAGAATGGGAATCAGAGTATCACAATTTATGTATTTAATAAAGTATGAAGGTCGTCTTCTTCTTCTTCTCTTTTTTTTTCCCTTTACTTTTTCCCTTTAGTTATGGGTAAATAATAGTGACTGCAAGGTCATAAATCTTCTTCTCTCTGCTCCTAATAAGTTCCGACACTTCTCTATGGTAGATCTCGCTGCTAGATCGTCTCTTTGTCAATCCTCTGCTATCTCACTCCTTCAGTTCAATGATGGCCACACTTCCTGTTTTGCTGAAGCACTCAAAAAAAAAGTTCAGTAGTTCAATCTCTTGCTTACTTTCCTCCTCACTTATCAATCACAGTGCCAGCCACATCGATACTCGTTTCCTTCTCCCTCTCACCATGCTCTCCAGAGATCTTTATACAAGCGACCTGCTCCCTGCATATGCCTCGTCGGCTTGTCGGGTCTCCGCCGTTACGATCTACTCTGCTCTGCACTCTCCCGCACCGAGCAGTCCTCTCCCGACTCCGCCGATGACCTCTCTCAACGCTAAATCACTCCAAGGTATGGAAAACGCGATGTCAGATCTAGCACGGCACCTCCAATCTTCTTCTTAGCTCCTGTCCTTTTGCTGGCTATTGTGACTTCAGGCCCGTCATCAAATGACCGGCTCACCACGTTGGATCAACAGAGCCGCCCGGTCTTGCGAGAGGTGTTTGTGCCCCACTCTCTTGTTCGCCTGGCTCTTTCTTTTGTCCGCAGGGCTCTCCGAGACCCGCGCCCCCAAAGGGATCCCCAAAACGCGGTGATAAAGCGTGTCGGGGAGTAGCAATCACTCACTCGACACCATATCGCCGCAAGTCACCAACCGGGAGTCCGAAAAAAACTTTAATTCTCTGTGTAGCAAATGTGAGCTAAGATGAATTTCTATTAATACCAAGCATGAGAGAATCCAATGACCTTTCCCTATACTGATTTTGAGTTTTCTCAATATCTCAAAGTTTTGTAGTTAGATATCAACTAAAAGTATTTTTCTTATCCCAGTGTCCTTTAACTATGTTGCATTACAATTCTCATCCAGAAATAATGTAAGTAAACTAGCTAATTGTGAGAAATGATCAATATAGGGACATAGAACATCCTACCCCCCCCCCCCCCGAGTGCAATCTGCCCCCACCCTTCTTTGGCCTGGGAATCCAATGGGGAAATTCCACATTGCAGGTGGCTGCTGGATTGATAGCATGCCCTACCTGCTCTGCATTTCCTGCGTCACTCCCGTCCATCTTTTCATAGTATTGTATTTTCATTGTTTATTTTATTGTTTCATTATTTTACTACTGTTAAGTTTACACTTCTGTTCATTTCTGTTTTTACTGTTGTAAGCTGCCCAGAGTAGCCTCATGGTGAGATAGTAAGCAAATAAATTTAATAAATAAATAAAATATCTGTAGAGCCTGAGAAAATAGTATAATAACACATCCCTTCTCTCAACTGTTGCAGAAACATGAAAAAGTGTGTGTATCTCCTTTTCTGAAATATATACATATACACATACATACATACATACATACATACATACATACATACATATATATATATATATATATATATATATATATATATATGTCTCTCTCTCTGTGTCAGTGTAGTGATTGCATTCCCATAGCTTTCTAGTTCTGGCTCTTGGATTTTTTTAATGTTGCTTTATTGTATATTGTTTATTAGAATATTGAAGTATGCTCTTTAGCCAAAAAGCTTCCAAAGTAATTTCATTTGCATACACCAATTCAATAGGTACAAAAGGATAATTGGTAGGCAATCTGAAAGATTCATGACCAAGAAAAAGGAATGCAGAGGGAGAATATTCAGTTGATTCAGTTACCCTACTGAACAAGCATATCTGTCTGCCTGTCTAAACTTGGATTTGAACTACATTTTATTCTCTGCTTGGGTTGGCCTGTTCTTTGCTAGCTTAGTCTTCTTTGATTTTTCTCTTCTTTTGCTTCCTGTTATTGAGGCAGAACTTAATTTACTTTCCCACTTCCTTTTGTTTTCTCCCAGGGAGGAGGGAAGAGTAACTAAAGGAAGCTAATAGTTGTTTCTTCACTAATGTGTAATAAGATTCATCAGAAGCCCTTTTTCAGAAATAGGATTTATTTGGCAGTTACTGAGAAGCCATTTATAGTAGTGCTGTATCTCTTTGTCTTGATTAATGGTTCATCCAAGAAAGAAAAGGTTCCAAGAAGGAGCAGGATGTCCTTGGGCAATGCTGGCTCAGAAGATCCAATTCATTATCAAACTACATTTTCATGCTAGTTACAGGTAGTCCTCAACCTATGACTGCAATGGAGCCTGAGCTAGGTCCATAAAGGAGGCAGACAAGCAGCAAAAAGCTCTGTTAACCCAAAAACCTCTCAGCAGAGGGAAAGAGTTCAGATAGATTACGGCTGAATGTTACATTCCATTGCTAGAAAGGCTTTCAAACAAGCCTCAGTGCTTGGTCAATTAAGCCATGCTTGTGGGCTGGTCCTCTGCCCCAAACAGTTGGCCATCATAAGATAGCAAATATTGCCAGGCTCTTGCTAGGCTTTGGGAAAACTCAGGAGGAGCTCCCCAAAACCTTTTCCTTGCTTAACCTCTCCTTCCTTCAAAAATCCACATTTCTTCAATAAACAAACATAAAAAAGGGGGGGGGGGAAACAGACTTGTTTCTCTAATTAGTGCTGGAACTAAACTCTCCACCTTTGCCCTCCAGTCTTGATAGGGTGACAAAATCAGTAAATTACTTACCATGATGAATAACTGCCAAGCTGAAGAGCAGAGAAAAGGAAGGATATAAGCAAAGAAAATCTTTTTGCTTCTTGCTTGCATTGAGGAGCTGAAGAAAAAGTTCAGCTCAAAATAAGCTGACTTTGTATTAAAAAAAAAAGAACACGGCTTGGGGGGGGCCAAAAGCCCTACTAAGCATACAAAAGTATGAAGGCTATTGCTTAACACATTGTAAGCTGCCCTGAGTCTCCAGAGAAGGGCGGCATATAAATCGAACCAACCAACCAATCAATCAATCAATCAATAAAATGTTCAGCCAGATAGAGTGCAATCTGCACAGCATATAGCAGCAGCAGCAGAAGCTGGGTCCTTTTCATGTAGCTTTATATAGCTGTCATAACTTTGAATGACTGCTAAGTGTCTGATCGTATCCTGAGGATTACCTGTATACATGTGCAAAACTTGCAATGAAAGTTCAAACAGAACTTCTGTTTGAACTTCTGTATTATGTGATGTAGATTTCTCTGTGTAGCAGTTCTTACAGATCTATTTTCCTGTGACTTCCATTCTTCCCTTCTCATAATCCATTCAACAGCAGAGCTAGGAGAGGACAAAGGGGAGGATACTGATCTGTTATTTCCATTCTGGTGTCTTATTTGGTAACACTGATGTTTTAATGTAGAAACTCTTTGTAAAGAATGTAGAATAGTTGTGATTAGACGTTTTCATACTAGTTATGATTAATTTTGTATTCTTTCAAAAGATGCAAATTTCCATGCCAAAAAAATATTTTACGATTCTTCCCTATCAGTTCTCACTCTTAAATGAAAGAAACTTTTCTTTTGAAATTTCTTTCAAAGGAAAATTGGATTTTGACAAAAGTCTCATAGTTGGAATGTAATATTCTTACATTTACTTCATTGTAGGATGGCCATAGAGTAAATATCCTCTCTTTCATTGTCAATAATATCTTTACTGGTCTGTAGCCTCCCTGCTTTTCCATGCCATTAGTTAAGTTCTAAGGGAGAAGACATCATGAGAGAACTCCATTGAGCTTCTTTCAAATTGGAAAATGTGGACATCCAGGGTTATTTCAGGATTATGGAAAGGTGTGTGAGAGAAAAGAAGTATCCTTCAACAATTAAATAAGTAAATTCAATTAAAAGAAATTCAAAAGAAAATGTTAAGCACCTTGCGAATAAAGTACAAAAAAAGTAGTTTTTTCTCAGGTTGAAAAAATCTAAAACTATAAGACAGATTTGAGAGTAGCCTTTTTGTTAGAAACGTTATGGGAAATTAGTCATTAGTATGAAATTTGTTGGATTTGAAAATATCATTGAGAAGGCACCAAAAGAAATAGCATAATAAGATTATTGACCGGAGAGTTTTTTCTTTTCAGGTTTCCCTTTCTATCAGGCTATTTGACAATGAATAGCGGTATTGCTGCACTTCAGAGACCTCAGTTTTCAAATTTGACTTAACATTTGTTTTGTTTTGATTGACTTTATATTTTATTTGTAATACATGTATTGATCCAAACACAAAGACATGGAAAAAGAAAAGCACCTCTATCACAAGAATGAATGAACAACTCTCAACTATTGTCCAGGCTGGTGGAGGATTGCTGGAATTGTCCTTCAACAAATAAGTGCATTAAAGTTACAAAGTGCAATAAAAGCTTTTGAATATTTATGCACAAAAAGGTGCTCTTTATATATCTGAATTCTCTATGTTTTAGCAAGATGACTTATAATACAGAGATTAGTTACCTCACTGTAACTAGATACATCCTTGATTAACTAGAACCCAAAATACATTGCGTTTCAAGTTTATAACATTAAGGAAGGGAGGCAGGTTTTTATCATTTTGTTGGCATCTTTATTTGTGTTTTAGGAATTGAAGTTCTGCAACGTTTGGAGGGCTACAGATTCCTTTTTTAAAAAATAATTCTTTTTAAGAGGAATCCTTTAGTATGATAATTATTATTTAGAGATTGCAAACCTGTAAAATATATTGCAAAAGAAAGAAAGATATTTGTTAACCTTCTTAAAATTAGTGTTCATTCAATGAAATCTTATCCATGTTGCCTTCTCCTAAATGCCTGGGCATAAAATAAAAAACTGTAGCTCAGCATCACTATCTTGCAATTAAAAAGCTTACCAAATTTTTCATGATGAAGTCTTTCTTTTCTACTTCTACTGAAGAATGTATGTTATGAATAACATTTTCCCCACAGAAAACTACCCACATTTTCACTTTCTTTAAAGGGGAATGACTAACGAGGAAAGGCTGAGGGTGATAGCTTAATAAGAAAAAAGCAACCCATGACCAAGGCTATTTCATTGTAGTTTTAAGTGTCTGGACAAACCCATAACTTATACTGTTAAGTTCGAGCAGCTATATTATGTTTTCTCAACTTTTTGGGATTTGTAATTTGATAACAAAAATAACAAATTCATTCAATAAAAATGAGATGGATGGGGATAATAGATGGATGATAGGTTTTGCATACTGTAAAGCTGCATTTACTCTGTTATCTTGACACAGAGCAAGAAAATAGTTCCATCAGAACTGAAGAGTTGCAATAATGTAATTAATTAGACAATTCCAAGCTAAATGAAGCCACAGGAAAAGACAGTATATTATATACATTAACATAGAGCTGTGCAAATTTGAAATTTGAAATAGAAACAGATGCTTCAGTTAGAATAAAGGCTGTTTTTTTCCTACCCAAAGACTTGCAGCAAGTATTTCATGAGCAAAAACTAACAACATTTCTTGTCAACCTCTAGGGGCCAGTGCAGCCTAGATTTTCACCATACTTCCAATTTTTGCTGTTCTATTTTCTTAGCAATGTAACTTTTGCTTGTATCTCTGATAGAAAATTGGCACTGTCATTGTCAATTGTAAATCACATGACACTCCAATAGATTCTGAAAAGGACTCCCTAGTCAAGGAAAAAACAATTGTTTACAAAGTCTTACCTTGTTAAGTGAGCAGCAACATTTACATAGACTAAGTGAAAAGAAGATACTGTATGATTTATCTTGTCTTTGTCCAAGAACTAAATATTATCAGAATCTCTAACTTCTGATGCTTTCATTTGAATTGGAAAAAGCAGAAACTCAGTTTTGAAGGTTAAAGAAACCCATGATGTCTTTCGTTCAAGAGAAAATGGGACTAAATGGTGAGGATATTAATTAATTTAAATAAATCAGGGAAAGAAATAGCTTAGGGCATGAAGCATAACAAATGGGTAGAAATTAAGTGCTGGCTTGAGGGGCAGTAATTTCATGCCTGATGTAGAAAAAAGGGAATGGGTGCAGTGGTGGTTTTTGGGGTGCGAACCAGGAAATTCTGTGCAGCCTGTACACCCCCCACTACCCCATTTCTTCATGGGTGAAGATTTAAGTTTAAATTACACCTAACCAAAAGTATATAGTTCTTAATTCATTTATATTGTAATCTTTTAAATATCTGAAATGACATAATATCTTAGTGTAATTTACACTGTAAACAATGCTATTTCTTTCCACTTGCAGATGGAAAGAAAATATGTTCCTATGACCAACTGTGTTTATCAGGTAGTTGTGGGGATTAACCAGTTATTGGTCATTAATTGGAATGAGAAAACTATTAACGGAATGTGGCATTTATTATAAAAAGAATACATGCAAATAAATTATTTAAAGCCATCATATTGTTTGCCAAAAGGCTTGGGCCTTTAGCTTTTTAGCAAATAATCCTAGTTTTTAAGAAGATAGAATAAGCGAGGCCATTCACATATTTGAGTGTCCATTTCATTAAATGTTATCATGGAAAATATGTAACAGCAAGAATAATGTGCAAGATATGAGATCTCGTAGTAGACATAGGGAGCCTCAATTTGAGGATTAAGTGAACCAGAGGAATGATCTAGGACAAATTTGTGACATAAGTATTGTTTTACCTGATGTACACCAGCAGCAGCATTGAAATTAGATGGGGGGCATCCATTGATTTGCATAAGGGTAAAGAAAACAATTTCACATTATAGAGGACAAGCTCTCATGGCAAGACAATGCCTCCACAAAAAATTCAGCAGTACTGGATGAGCAAATTCATGTTAAAATCTATTCTCACAATTTTCACTAGGTCAACAACTATTGAATGGCATAAATCATCATACATTATTGAGACATTATTTAAAGATGATGATGATTATATAATTAAAGATTTTAGAGAGTATAAAGAGCACGTACACAAGCTTCAATTGACTAATATCAATTTCTTAAAAAATGGAAAAGGAATATTTATTTACATCTCTCACATCCCATCTCCCTGAAACAAGCTTTCACACAATTTTGTTTTTTGATAATGCCATCAGCCTGTTCGTTGGAAGGTATAAAGGATTACCAATTATACACCATTTATGCATTTGTGATAATTCACAGGTGAAAGATCTGATCCACTGCAAATTATAACAGGAACACATAGTAGATTTATTATGCTTTTGTTAACCCAGTTTAATCAGTCTGGCATAGGAGAAAAAATCTATTTCAGGCTGACCCATATAGACATGTACAGGAAAAAAAAAAAAAACCACCAAGCTGTGTTGTTTGAAATGGCCATAAAGAAGACAATGAATGCCAATTTTGACAGTACTATTAATTGTAGGGTATGTATGAATTAAACAAAGATTGTTGTAATTTTATATGAATTTTGCTAAAATCTATGATTGCAAATAAATGTATTAAATGTAACTAGTTGTCAGTTGTCAATTTTGTACTTTTGCAAGTTAATATTTTTAAACTTTCATTTTTTTAGAAAAAGGATAAAATACATTTGAAAAAAAATGATACTCAGCTAAATCTCTAGCCATTCTTAAATTGGAGACACCAAAAGTAGGGATGGCAGTTTTGTCACTTCAGTTGCTATCTATTACAATGGAACAGCTGTAAAAGTATTTGTAAAAATTGTAACACAAAGAAGATCTAGGAGAAATGCTTCAGCTTATCTTATCTTTAATTTAATTTGGACTTTGTATTTGAGAGAGATCCCTAAATTTATGCTAAAATCAAAAGTGGAAGCATTACATTTTGAGGAAATACTAAAAAAGAAATTCCTTCCTCTTAACAATAGATAATTATTTTTTGGCTTAACAATATTGTTTGCTAAGAAGCTGAAAAAATATTTTTTTCTCCTGCACATCTTGAAAAAGATATAAGAGAAAAAGCTTCATGGATTTCAATAATCAGAATCACAATCTTGGTGACCTGCTTATATGCTGTTTCTAGGTTCAGAAATGGGATTTATTTAATGAACAAGTAGAAACTAAGCTTTATTACCATGTTTATTAGATTCAGTTGTGTAAAGTTCTTGTAAACCATGTGAAAAGACAGCTGCAAGAGCACAACTGTTTCTCACAACTATGAAAAGTAAATGCAGTCAGTAGGACTGAGGCATGCAAGAATTTGGCTTGCTTCTCTTCTTATAGTTCGCCCTGGATTAAACGTTCTTGTCTCTAACAGGGCAGGAAAACCAGCTAAATATCCCACCTTGGCTCTTTGGTGAAAAGATGCAGATAATTTCCGAAAATTTCTAGTAACTGATAAAACTTACATTCAACCCAGATTGAAACTTGAGTTTCCTTCACTTGTAAGAAACTCTGAAATATTTGACAACCAAGTTCAGGGTCTTTGAATTTGTATGCCCTAGAGTTGTGTCTCTGACAAGAAGGGAAAAACATAGTGAGAGGCCAGAACAGAACAAAAGACAGAAGACAAGTGATGAGAGGAAGTGCCAACATTACACTCTACACTGCAACAACTGTCTTTCCCTGCTGTGACATACAGGTTTTGTCCATTATACCATGTGTAGTTTGTTTCACAGCTGTGAAAAATGAGTTAAATAAAACACACAAACCCAAGCAAGGAAATCTTCATCCACCTTCCAATTCCTTTTTGGTTTTATAATGAACTGAATGATAAAATGCTATATACTATTTACTGTAGGCATTGACTTCCGTACTTATTTATATTGTGTGATTCTTAAATAATAACCAGGTGAATTTGGTTCGGGAAGAGAAACTTGATGTAGCTATTATTCCAGAACAGCTAATGGGATTCAGCATCCTTACTTCTATCTAGCAAACTCTACTGTAGACAGATGGAACAACTGCTATCTGGTGAAATGTCAGCCTAAACCAGATAGCAATCACAATCAGATGTCAGCCTACCAATAGACCAGACAGGAAACAAACAAGATCAATTAATTCTACTTTATTGTAAGGATACATTAATAGAATCATGCAAGTCTGAATGCACAACTCTCCTATCGCTTCTTTTTATCACCTGATGAGTTAGGGCAGATCCTTTCTTAGTTTTTTTTTCTCTGCCTGTTACTCAGTTGCGGGTTCCTGTTTCTTTTATCTGATCATTTCTCAAGCAGCATCTCTTTCCCCTCCTAACCCTCCTCTTCCAAGGTCATTCTCACATCCATTATCTGACCTATTCTACTTTATTATTAACATCAATAGTTCACAGAATCTTACAAGTCTGAAAACAATCCTCTCCCCCCCTTATTTACAGCCTGAGAAACTAGGGAGGCTCTCTTCTGAGCCTCTTATCCTATCCACTTCCAGTTGTGGGCTATTCTGTCTCTGATCATTTCCTTTACAGCATCTCTTTGCCTAGTCTCCCAAAGACTTTCTCATATTGTTACAGGATAACTGAAAGGGGAGCTTAATAGGAGGCTTGCTTGTAGAATGGCTTCAACTGCCCAGCACGCATTATATCACCACAACCTGCTCTCTTTGCTGACCTGTTGAAAGACATAGTGAAAGGGAAGAAACCATTGGTGATCAATGGTCAGAGGAGTAAAGTTTGATCTAGCGATGCTCCATGACTTTCAAGATCCAGAACATGTCCCTCCTGCTGAATATGATGGGACAGATAGATATAATTGGGCATAATTAGGCATAAGTGGTCTCTTGTCACCATATCATATAGGGACTTAAAGAGCTTAACCTGCACTTTGAATTGGAAAAAAATTGACAACCAATTCAATTTGTGGAGTAGAGGAGTTCTTGAAGCACACATAACTGCCTCCGCCACAGCATTTTGCAGTAGCTCAACCTTCTAGTTACTCTTCAAGTGCAGGTCCATATAGAGTGCAACACAGTAATCCATTTGGGAGATGATTAAAGCATAAGTGACTGAGAGCAGAGCCTCCTAATTGTGGGACAGGTGAAACTGCCACACAATATGAATCTGTACAAAGACCCTTTGGCCATAATTACTACCTGGTCTTTTAGCAAAAGTAATGAGGACAGAAGGATCCCTAAGTTGTGCACGAAGTTATTATGGGGTAGTATATCTCCATCCACACATAATAAGGTAAATCCATGGCTACCAAAAGTTTTGCCAACTGCATGTTTCCTGTGATCTTTTCTCATTCCCTACTGTAAACTGTGTGATGTAAACTACATGTAGCCTAATTCTGCTAGTGTTATTTTGCTCTAATATCTGGCCTTGAATTGAGGAATGCCTTTATTGAAATCTTTCACAAAGCTTGTCTATCTGAGAAAGAAAACTAATTATAAAAACCAAGCTATCCTTGCTCTCAAATATCCCAAAAGAAAACAAAAGAGAATGGAAGGTTGTTCAGACAACAAGAACCCCTGGTACTGATGGCTTGCCTGCAGAAATCTATAAAACCTTTACAGATCTGTATATAAAATATATGAAGGAAATTTTTAATATGGTATTGATGGAATCTAAGGCTCCCAAATCATGGCTAGAGGCCTATATTTCTTTAATACCGAAGGAAGGGGTGGACCACACTCTGATACATAATTATAGGCCTATCTCATTTTTAAACGCCAACTATAAAATTTTTGCAACTGTAATGGCAGCTAGATTTAAGAGATACCTTAGCGAATTTATCCAAATAGATCAAAATGGTTTTCTACCGGCCAGACAATTGAAAGATAATGCACGGATCATAATGGATGCCCTGGAATATTACGAGGCCCACCCTGAGAAGCAGGCGGCATTCCTCTTTTTAGGCGCCCAGAAAGCCTTTGATAGGATCAATTGGAATTATCTTATATCACAATTGAAATATATGGAGGCTGGCGATCATTTCACGAATGCAATCCAGGCAATTTATAGTCAACAGAAGGCCAAGATTTTGATAAATGGAGAAGGGTCGGAGGAGGTGACGATAGCGAAGGGAATGAGACAAGGCTGCCCACTCTCCCCATTGTTATTTATATTCATGCTAGAACCTTTACTTAGGTCAATAAGACAAGAGGTGAGCATAAAAGGACTAAAGATCAGAGAACAAGAATACAAGGTCCAGGCGTTTGCGGACGACCTGGTCTTTGTTCTGGAAGAGCCACTAACCTCTGGAGGGCAACTTAATGACATAATACAGAAATTTGATGAAATAGCTGGATTACAAATAAATAGGAAAAAAACAAATATCATAGTTAAAAACATGACAGAAATACAAAAATTAGAACTACAAAACACTTTGAGCCTCCAGGTAGTTCGTAAAGTTAAATATTTAGGGATTTGGCTGTCTGATAGATGCTCCTCAATAAAGGCGGATAACTATTTAAAATTAACTGAGCAATTAGACAAAGATTTGGAGAAATGGGGCAAGATACAATTGTCATTAATGGGGCGGATAGCCTTAATTAAAACTCACATGCCCAAAATGGTATTTCTCTATCAAACGGCCCCAGTTAGACTAGATAAAACCATTTTTAGGAACTTGGACAGGCCTACAAATAGATTTATTTGGCAGGGCAAGAAGCCTCAAAATAAGTTGAAAACGATGTAGAAACCGAAAGAACAAGGCGGGTTGGGAGTCCCAAATTGGAAGTATTACTATAATTTGGCGGTTTTGGTTTGGATCCGTGAATGGATTACACTACAAGGGAGACGTCTGTTAGCACAGTGGTGGCATGCCCACCTATGGTGGGAAAGAGGCAAACCCATAGCATATTTTATGAAACATCACGTGCAAGGAGTCCTGATTGAGAGTGGGATGGAAATTAGGAAAACATTATAATAAGGTATCACTCTGGGTTTCACCTGTAGAAGCTATGATCTATCCGATTCTGTATTATCCAGAGAAAAAATTGACCTACAAAGTAATATTAGATATGAATGGGAAGTTAAAAACAAAATTGTCACTTCAGGAACAAGGAGTGAACCTAGACTGATGGACGTACATGCAAATTAGTAGTAAGTATATGAGAGATAGACAGAGATTTGGGATTAGCCGAGAGGTGCAGATTCTAGATAGGATATTATTGGGGGTGGATGAAAAGGTGTTATGTAGATGCTATAAATTCTTTATGGCTATGGAGGTAGGCTATGGAGGTAGGTGCGAAGACTTCAGTTCATGCCTGGGAGAAGAATCTAGGTTATTCAATAGAGCCTGAGAGGTGGAACAAAATCTGGACTAAGAATATTAAACTAACCCAGTCAATAGGATATAAAGAAAATATATATAAAATGACGTATTAATGGCATTTACCGCCGGCCAGACTCGCCAAAATGTTCCCTGGAACACCCTCAGTCTGTTGGAAATGCGGTGTTAAAGAAGGCACATATTTCCACCAATGGTGGACCTGTCGAGAGGCAATGAAATTTTGGAAGAATATTCAGAAGTGGCTTAATGAGATGTTGGGGCAGCGTATACAATTGCGTCCTGAGGTATTTTTATTAGGGATAAGACCTGAAAATGT